TAACATTTGAGGAATATGGGTGAAGGGTATATGGGAATTCTTTGTACTGTTTTTGCAAATGAGTCAATTTATTTTAAAATTTAAAAAATTAAAATTTGATGTGCATGTGTGCAAGTGTCTTTATATGCATAGAAAAAAGTCTTAAAAGGTAGAGTAAAAACCAAAATATTTAAAATAATTATCTTTGACTATCTCTTATTTGTTATTTTCTGGTTTTTCTTCAATGAAATGATAATTGTACGTTATATAAAATGTTAACATTGGAGAGTCTGGGAGAAGGGTATATAGCCATTCTCTGTACTATTTTTGCAACTTTTTTAAAGTCTGAAATTATTTTAAAACTAAAAGTTAACAAAGGAACAAACAAATAGGGTGGGTTATATTATAAGAATGTTACTAGCATCATAATGTCTATAGCTTTGGTCTGGTTCACAGACAAGTGGCCTCCAGTGAGCATGGCAGACCCTGATAATCGAGCAGAGCTATAGCTTTAGAGTCATTCTCAACACAGCTTGCCGAACCAAATGACTGTTGTGGTTACTACAGAGGAAGCCTTTCTGCCATTCCTAGCATGGGAGGAGGAAAGGAGAAAGCCACGTGAAGACTATTAAATACCCCAAGGAAAGTCCCTGAACGCCATTCCAAGGAGTTTAGACTTAATCCTATGGGATAAGCAGAATAAGAGTTTTAAAAGCAGGAGAGTGATATATAACAACAATAACTAACATTTATCAATCACTGACCATGTGCCGGTTACATCTTTTAGCTCAATTAACTTTCACAACAATTCCATTGAATGGATATAATTATTATTATCCCCATTTTGCTGAAAAGGAAGCTGATGCAAAGTTTGTTCAAGTCAAACAGCTATTAAGTGGCAAGACAGAGCTTTGAACCCAGGCACTTGAACTCTAGAGCGAGTGCTCGGAATTCCTGTGCTTCATTGTAGATCTAAGGTTTGGACAAAATCTATTAGTACGCCATGGAGGAGAACCAGGGTGGAGGAGAATGGAGGCCTGGAGGCCAATCGGAAGGCCCACAGTATTTCAGGTGAAACATGATAAGGAAATACGTCATTTACCCATAATGTAATTTCAGCTTTGCAGGAGTCTGCCACATTAATGCAAATAATCCCTTTAAAAATAGATCCTTTTTAAAAGAATTTAATGACATGGTAAGAAATTTGGAGTAAAAAGTGCTGTAAACGTGCTCATGGAGCTTATAGTTCTAAATATCACTTTCCACAGTGAGGTAACTGGCAATCTTAGTGAATTTCAGGGACCTGAAGAAGCAGGAAAATGATTTCCTGTTGTTGCCTATGAAAAAGTAAGCACAATATATGTGAACAAAAAAACTGAAGAGAGAAATGCTTTTGTATAATGAGAATACAGATTTCAGTTTTCACTTTATGGCCACACTAGTAATATGCAAGAAGAGAAATTGCATATAATAGGTACTTAATAAACAGTTATGGCACCAAACTGAATAAGTCAAGTTTACTATCCAAATTGTGCCCTAAAAGTCAAGATGATGGGGCTGGCCCCGTGGCGCACTTGGGAGAGTGCGGCGCTTGGGAGCGCAGCGACGCTCCCGCCGCGGGTTCCGATCCTATATAGGGATGGCCGGTGCGCTCACTGGCTGAGTGCGGTGCGGGCGACACCAAGCCAGTGAAGCTTACCATCCATCTATTAAATGCTGGTAGTATGAGGCTTCAGGTCAAGATGGTAGAATAGACCATCTAGTCACCTCCTCCCACAAATCAACCAATTTACGACTATTAAAAAGCAATGACAGCCAAGCTGGGGATGCTAGAACTCAGGGGAAGAGGAGGAGAGACCTACGGAGTGCATGAAGGCAGGAGAAGCCATGAGAGAAAGAAAGGACTGCTCCTACCATTTCAAATCCCAGCTGCTCCAAGGCTGGAGCTGATAAGTGCACAAAGCAAGAGCTGGCAAAAGCTGCAGCTGTGCCCTTCCTATGAAATTGCTTGGAGGAGGCAGGGGAGAAGAGGGCCTTGGTGGCCCTCAGGCCAGCAAGACCACTAACAGGGTTCCCATGGACCCACATAGGAGCAAGGAACCATAACAATCAAAAAAAGTGTGAAGCTTACCATCCATCTATTAAATGCTGGTAGTATGAGGCTTCAGGTCAATATGGTAGAATAGACCATCTAGTCACCTCCTCCCACAAATCAACCAATTTACGACTATTAAAAAGCAATGACAGCCAAGCTGGGGATGCTAGAGCTCAGGGGAAGAGGAGGAGAGACCTACGGAGTGCATGAAGGCAGGAGAAGCCATGAGAGAAAGAAAGGACTGCTCCTACCATTTCAAATCCCAGCTGCTCCAAGGCTGGAGCTGATAAGTGCACAAAGCAAGAGCTGGCAAAAGCTGCAGCTGTGCCCTTCCTATGAAATTGCTTGGAGGAGGCAGGGGAGAAGAGGGCCTTGGTGGCCCTCAGGCCAGCAAGACCACTAACAGGGTTCCCATGGACCCACATAGGAGCAAGGAACCATAACAATCAAAAAAAGGAGCCACTCAAAGGCCGGTTTGTCACTGCAAGGGACCAGTACATGGCCCGCCCCATGGGAAGTGTTTGGAGTATGGGCAGTAGGGGAGATGGGCCCACTGGAGGAACACTGGGGCACAGCAAGGACAGCTGATCTCCCCCGAATCGGCACAGGCCCACTCAGTGGAAACTGATCAGGAATACAGAACTGCAGGGGGTGCAGTTTGCTGAAAAGACTCAGGCCCAGACCAGAGTTTCCACACAACCCAGGTGTACTGGACCTCACAAGACCTGGAAGTACCTACAAAGTAAACCATTAAAACCTGAGCTGCACAAAAATCCTTCCCCAGGGAATCAGCAGCAAAGCAGCAATTTAGCTCAACCACAGGGCTCAAGCGCTGGTCCCCACAGGATGTTACCCCATTTTAGAAGTGAGCAAAGGACAATAAATTAGCTCCAGTGCAGAGTTTAAGTGGTGGGAACAGCAAATAATCCAAAAGAGAACTGAAAGAAAAAACAAAATCCCCACAGACCAGAGACAAAGTTTGATATTAACTAGTAAAGGTCTCACTTCAACAAAGAACACCTATAAAACCTAGAAGGACTGGAAGCCTCCTGGGCCCAAAAGCCAGGGAGTGGGGAGGGCCAGGGGCCTCAGCTATGCCCCCCAATGCCCACAACCAGTCCAGCGATGACCACTGTGCAGCTGCAGTAAGTGCCCTGGGCACCCAAGCCAGGAGGGTGGGAGACCAAGTGCCTCAGTCACACACCACTGACACCCGCACCCAGCCCAGTGAGGACCACCAAGCTGCCTCAGGAAACACCCTAGGCTCTCGAGCCAGTGCTGTTGGGGGCCTAGGACTTCGGCCACACCCTCCTGATATCTACATTCAGCCCAGAAATTACCAAGCCACCAGTGGAAGCCCCCTATTCTCCCCTGCAGGAATGAGGGGGATGCTATAGGCCTCAACCACAGCCCCTCTCCTTCTTCCTTCTCCCATCCTATTTTCTTCCCCCTTCCCCTCCTCCCCTCCCACCCAACTGCTCCACAACAACATCTTAGAATGTAAAAACAGATGGAGCCGGGGCCAATCCCTCCTCCCACAACCAGGCAAGGAGCATGCCAAAAACACCACTTCCATGTGGGTGGCCCACAACAGCCACCACAATAGTCATGGTGCCACGAAAGTGGCTAGAGGCTTCAACCACCATGCAGATGGCCCACCAGCCACTCAAGTGCATCAACACAAGGAGAGTCACCAGCAGAGACCAAAGAAAAGAAGAGGATGTCTCTCTCCACAAAGCCCATTCCAGAGTGACAGAAGCATCTACTCTACGATAAAACTGGTGGACCTGAACATACCTCCCTCAGCACTGGACAGATCATCTAGGCAACAAATCAACAGGGTAACCGTTACTCTTTCAGAAGGAGAGAAGAAATCTAGAGTTATCAGAGGGGGGAGGGGAGATGGAGAGGTGGATGGGGAGAGATTGGATATGGGGCATAAAGAACAAGTACGATTTATAAAAAAAAAATTATACAATACATAAAGACAAAAAAATGTTGGTAGTATAACAAAGTGTTCTTAAGTGGGGCTCCACTATGAAGGAATTTGTAATATTTGTTGGGATAAAATTTACATTTGAACTACTATGAATAAAGGACTTCCCAACCAAAGTTGAAAAATAAAATTAGAAGAAGGAAACTAATTTTAAGAAACAAATCATTTATATGACTTTAGCATATTATTTGAATTCAAATATACTATTTTAAAAGAAAATTTTTTGGCAGCTGGCCAGTATAGGGAAAAGAGAATATACTATAAACAACCATAATTTATTCTTGAAAACAAGTGCCCAAAATTTCTACTTGAATATGCTTTGTTAGAAATTACTGATCGTGGGCTGGCCCAGTGGTGCACTAGAGAGTGCGCCACTTGGGACTGCGGCGGCGCCCCCACCGAGGGTTCGGATCCCATGTGGAGACCGGTTCCCGCTCACTGGCTGAGCGCGGTGCGGGCGCAACACCGCGGGTTGCGATCCCGTTGCCGGTCAGTAAAAAAAAGACAAAAAGGAAAAAAAAAAAAAAGAAATTACTGATGGAGGGCCAGCCCGTGGCTCACTCAGGAGAGTGTGGTGCTGGTAACACCAAGGCCACGGGTTCGGATTCCTATATAGGGATGGCCAGTTGGCTCACCTGGGAGAGCGTGGTGCTGACAACACCAAGTCAAGGGTTAAGATCCCCTTACCAGTCATCTTTTAAAAAAGAAAGAAATTACTGATAGAGCAATTTAACTCTTTTGTATTGATATTCTATAAGCCAGACTTTTCTTCATTTGAGACTAGCTTCATCCCTCCCCTATCAAAAAGTGAGAAAATTAATTTTCAAGATATTAGAAGTGGGCTGGAGAAGGGAGATTGCAAAGGGAAACAGATGATGAGAATTCTTGACTGAGACATGAACATGTCTCAACATTTTTCTTTTACCTTCCTCAGATATGAAGACCCTGGCATTTCCTCTGTCTCGCTGATGCTGCTCTTTTCATTATAGGGCTGCCACAGTTTTCCAATGCAGAGATGTTTGTGACAGTCTCATTAGCATAAAGACTTCTGGGTGCTGATTTTCTTGAGATAGACTCCAAGGCCTGGCTGGTTTCATTTTTAGCAGCCTCTGAATTTGACAGTGTCGGATCTGACCTGAGGTATTAACAAGGATAAATGAATAGACTGTTTACTTTGAAATATATTTTTTATATAACTAATGATGCAATGTGGGATGACAATGATAGTACTGGTGTAGGGAATGTATGAAAATAACATAGAACTAATTGTTGAAAGTTAGGATTTATGTACATGATCATTTCGAAATTTTTCTGACAGATTCAAATCTTTTAGTAAAACAAGCTAGTGTGCATGAGACATCTTGTGATATGGTAAAAAGGCCAAGTTAGAAAAAAAGTTAAGTAAATTATTATATATCTGTATGATAGAATTTTATGCAGTCATTAAAAATCATGTTTTCAAGTCATAATCAGTGATATTAGAACATGACCACAATACATTTTATGGGAAAAAAAAGGATACAAAGCTACATACACTATATGATCCCAATCTTGTTTTAAAATACAAGTATATGCAAAATTAAAAGTCTGAAAGAAAATACAGTGAGCCAAAGTATTAAAGCAGCTATCTTTGGGTGGTGCAATTATGGGTGAATTTTATTTTCTTCTCTGTACTTTTCTGTATTTTCCAAATTTCCCACAGTAACTTTGTGTTAACAAAGCATTCCTCCCCCCAAAAAACTTACTAAGAAAAAAAAGAAAAGAAGAAAGAAGGAAAAACAATGGCTGTCCCTCTATCTGAGAAAAGAGTTCTAGGTAGTGAATACTGACTTTTCTTTGAAACTTAACATATCACTCCTACAAAAACAATGACTGAAAATTTAAAATGAGTTTTAATTTTCATTATAGTGCTATTATACAAAGATAAACATTATTATACAAAGATAAACAGTCAGAAGAAAAAGCAAATATTTCATGCAAGATTGGAGATGTTGGCTGATCCAATGGTGGGGGGTTATCAGAACCTACTAGCATTAATGTCATTAAAGCTGGTATACAACCACCCACTGCTAAATTTGACTGACTTAAAAAAAATTAGGCATGTTTCTGTTACAGTTAGGTCTGACTTTAGCTCTTCTGGATTTAGTCAAAATTTCTGATCTTCTAATGTTTCACTCCTCAATTGTTTCCTAAGTGAATGCCACTGAATTATTTCAGAATAAGACTGCAATGGCTTTTCCCAACCAATAGAGAAGTTAAAGTATGACCTTACCTTTTTCGTTTCTGTGAACGACACAGTGATTGTGGAGAAGATGCCCTACTTGGCTCATCAGCTAATGTAGCCAAAATAAAGTTAGCTTCCAATAACATATCATCAATACTTAAAGCCATAGGTCTAAAAAGGCAAAGTCAGAGCAAAAATGACACTCATTTTCTGATGAACATTAGGAACACATTAGAAAATGATACTTAATTCTGCAGTAAAAAGAAACAGTAGAAATAGATGTCCTTTTTGTGTTTTCATAAATTAACATAGTCCAAAAAGGTGAAAGGGCCCTTAGAAATCATCAGGTCCAATTTCATCAAATACATCTTAACTCAATCTCATTTCAAATTTTAGTTCTGAAATATATAAAGTATCAGTTTCATAGATATTTAACCTGCTTAAGCCATGTATAATTTTTTAATTAGGCAATTTATTCAGCACCATGTCAAATTTATAAATGTTTCACTTTGCAGAAGAATATATCCTTCTCAATCAAGTGACCAGTTAAAAAATGCCATTTATGAGCCTAGAAGTCATTATGTTAAGTGAAATAAGTCAGGCACAGAAAGATAAATACCACATGTTCTCACTCATATGTGGAAACTAAAAAAGTTGAGCTCATAGAAGTAGAGAGTAGAATTGTGGTTACAGGAAGCTGGGAAAGATAGGGAGGATGGGAGGAATAGGGATGTTGGTTAATGAATACCAACCAACATAGTATACTATAGTAGTGGTAGGTGTCTAGAATGAATAATTTATTGTATAATTTCAAATGGCTAGAAGAGAGGAGTTCAAATTTTCTCAACACAATGAAATGATAAACATTTGTGATGATGGATATACCAATTACCCTGACTTGAATATCACACACTGTATACATGTATCAAAATATCACTCTGTAGGGCCAGCCCGGTGGCGCACTCGGTAGAGTGTGGCGCTTGGGAGTGTGGCGGCGCTCCCGCCGAGGGTTCAGATCCCATATAGAGACCGGTCTGCTCACTGGTTGAGCGCGGTGCGGGCGCGACACCGAGGGTTGCGATCCCGTTGCCGGTCACGGTACGGGCGTGACACCAAGGGTTGCGATCCCATTACCGGTCACGAAAAAAGACAAAAAAAGGGGAAAAAAAATATATATATATATATATATCACTCTGTAGCTCATAAATATGTACAATAAAAAAAAATAAAATGAGGACAATTAAAAAAACCCATGTTATAACATCTTTCAAAATTTTATGAATTCCTGTGGTGTTAATTAATTTCAAAGTGATCCAAAGGGTTTTATTATCAATATACAACAGAAGAAAAGAAACAAACTCAGGAAAGTTCCCAAGGACTTACTTCCCAGGAAAATCGAAATAAATGGATATAGGAGTATGTGTAGCTTCTGAAAATGACAGCATTCCCTGAAAGAAGAAAAAAACTTGAAATCTTTGTCAAAAAACTACCAGTGAAAATTTGAATTTTAATTTGACACAAATATCTGTTTACCTTCAATTCTTTGAAGCAAAATGTTATTTCAGTGTCCACTCCAATTTGAAAGAAGTCAAACTCATCTGGGCCAAAACACATCTCACTATGCACAGAATTGGTCAAATCTGCTTAATATTATACGAAAATAAAGAATAAAATTAGGGCCGGCCCTGTGGCGCACTCGGGAGAGTGCAGCTCTGGGAGCGCAGCAACGCTCCCGCCACGGGTTCGGATCCTATATAGGGATGGCCGGTGCGCTCACTGGCTGAGCACAGTGTGGGCGACACCAAGCCAAGGGTTGCGATCCCCTTACCAATCATGAAAAAGACAAAAAAAAAAACAAAAAGAATAAAATTAAAAGAAGAGAAGGAATAAAATTAGTCTCAGAGGTATTTGTTAAATTTTAATACAAAAAATATAACCATAAATGGTAGATTTTAAAAAGCCACAAATTCTTTGGCATTCCTTCATTGAGAGGTGGGGTCTATGTCTTTGTCCCCTTCCCTTGAATCTGGGTGGGCTCTGTGACTGCTCCGACCAACAGGATACAGCAGAGTGACCTAGAACCAGTTTCTGGGCCCAGGCCTTAAGAGACTGGCAGCCTTTGTTTCCTGTCTCCTGCAACACTTGCCATATGTCGTCCAAGTGACATGGAGAGGCCACATGTGTGTAGGCACTCTGGTTGACAGTGAGCCCCCAGCATCAGTTATGAGCCATGTGAGTGCTCACATAATTCCAGCCCCGGCCACCATCTAACTACAGCTGCGTGACAGACCCCAAGTAAGAACTGCCCAGCTAAGCCCTGTCAATCCACAGAACGATGAGAGACACTAATAAGTTACTGTTTTAAGCCACTACATTTTGGAGTAGCTTGTTGCAAGCAATAAATAACCAGAATATTATAAAAGCTAATTCATTCTAAAGGGAACTACTATGTATGAATATAGTTTACATATAATAAAGTTATTATATTTAATTCATTATATCCCACTGTTTCGAAAAATATTAACAAAAAGTGGGATTAGCAGGTAAAATAGATTCATCATACTCAATTGTAAAACATGGCTTAAAAAAGTGATTTTAATTTTTTTGTTTTGGTGGCTGGTCAGTATGGGAATCCAAACCCTTGACCTTTGTGTTACCAGCACCATGCTCTAACCAAGTGAATGAACTGGACAGCACACTAAAAAAATTTTAATTAGTATATAATTCACATATCATAACTCACCATTTTAAAGTGTCCAATTCAAAAAGAAACATAAATAAATAAATAGAAAGGAAAAAAATAAAGTGCACAATTCAGTGGTCTTTAGTATATTCACAAGGTGGTTCAACCATCATTCACTATCTAATTCTAGAACATATTCATCACCTTAAAAAAAAAAAAAACCCACACCTATTAGTAGTCACTCCCCATTCCTCTCTCCTCCCAGTCCCTGGAAACCACTAATCTACTTTCTGTCTCTATGGATTTACCTATTCTGTACATTTCATATAAATGGAATCATGCAATATGTGAACTTCTGTGTCCGGCTTCTTTCACTTATCATAAAGTTTTCAAGGTTCATCCATATTGCAGCATGTATCAGTACCACATTCCTTTTTATTATTATTATCATTTTTTCTTAGCTGGCCAGTACAGGGATCAAATCCTGGACCTTGGTGTTATAAGCACTACCTTAAACAACTGAGTTAACCAGCCACCCCTTTTTATGGCTGAATAATATTTAATTGTATGATAGATCACATTTTATTTATCCATTCATGAGTTGATGACATTTGGCTTTCCACTCTATCACTATTATGAATAATGCTGCTATAATATTCATTTGGACCATGAAGTAGAAGCTACTTCTTAAAGATGGCAGAGGAACAAGACAGAAAAACCCTGGTGGTTTGATGACCATGGAATAACTATATCAACCACTATTATTTTAGTTAGTGTTTTCTGTCATTCATAGTTGAAGATAACCCTAAATAAAACACTCTACAATTTTTATTTATTTATTTATTTATTTTAAAGATGACCAGTAAGGGGATCTAAATCCTTGACTCGGTGTTGTCAGCACCATGCTCTCCCAAGTGAGCTAACTGGCCCTCCCTGTCTAGGGATCTGAACCCATGGCCTTGGCGTTATCAGCACCACACTCTCCCAAGTGAGCCATGGGCCGGCCCTACACTCTACAAATTTTTAATGTAGATTTTTGCACATCATGTTTCCTTAAACAGAGGAAAGTTTCATATCTTATATGTCTTCTATTCAAAAAGAGATTATTGAACTTGGATTTTTTTCAACAACTACTGTTAGAGCAAACCCTGATGTTTGGAACTTTACATGTATATTCCAAGATAATCAAATACAAGTATTATGCCCTTTTCACATATTCTTTTATGATGTAAAAATGAATGATGCACCAAAAGCATAAGTGACAAAAGAAAAACAGATAAGTTAAACTCCACCCAAATTAAAAACTTTTGTGCTTCAAAGGATGTCCTCAAGAAAGTAAACAGAAAACCTACAGAATGGGAGAAAATATTTGCAAATTGTACATCTAATAAGACACTAGTACATAGAACAATCACCACCATAGAACAATCATAGAAAATAGATACCCCAAGTGAAAAATGGGCAGGTAATTTGAAAAGAAATTTCTCCAAAGAAGACATGCAAATAACCAATAAGCACATAAAAAATGCTCAACAGTGTTAGTCATTAGAGAAATGCAAATCAAACCCAGAATGAGACACTATTCCACTCCACTAGGATGACTATAATCCAAAAGACAGACAATAGCAATCAGAAACCTTATACACTGCTGATGGGAATGTAAAATGGTGCAGTTGTCTTGGAAAACAGTCTAGCAATTTTCCAAAATGTCAAACATAGAATTACCACATAATTCAGCAATTTCACTCCCAGGTATGTACCCAAGAAAAATGAAATAATACATCCACACAAAAACTTGTACATGAATGTTCATAGCAGCATTATTCATAACAGCCAAAAAAATAAAACAAATGCCCATCGTATGAGAAATGGATAAATAAAATGTGGCATATCCAAACAAAAGAACTTTATTCAGCAGTAAAAAGAAATGAAGTACTGATACATACTACAGCATGGAACAACCTTGAAAACATTACGGTAAATAAAGAAGGCTACGTGGCATATGATTCCATATATATGAAATGTCCTAGGAACAGGCAATCCATACAGACAAAAAGCAGATTAGTGGTTACCAGGGACTGGGGTTTGGGCTTAGTAGGAAATGGGGTTTCTTTGGGGCAGTGATTATATGTTCTAAAATGTTTTTGTTCTAAAATTATTTTTTGTGTGTTCTAAAATTAATCGTAATGGAGGTTGCACACGTCTGTGAATATACTAAAAATCATTGAATTGGATATTTTAAATGGATCACTTGTATGGTATGTGAGTTATATCTCAAAAAAGCGTTTTTTAAACACCCACTAGGATGGCTATAATCCAAAAGACAAAACTCCATCCAAGATTTGTCTTTATTCCTCATAGAATTTAGAGAAAAAAAGAATTATTTTGTCTCCCAAACCCCATCCCATTTCCTCCTATCCTCCTCCCACAATATACGTATACTATTTTTAAATATCTTTGTTCAAAAGAAAAATTCAATATGATATTTATACATTCCTCTTGAGCTTCCCAACAATTTAGGGCCTGATACAAGTCCACTTCACACAAATAAAGTCATTTATGTTAAATGCCAGAGTTTTTATCTAAGTTGATCTGGGATGAATAAAATTTCCAATGAGAAAAATATAAAGATACAATTTTCACTCACATATATTCTTTGTTTTCTTTTTCAATCATATCTTTAATAACTTAAATATTATTCAGAACCTTGTAACACAAGGATCTTGAAAGATAATTATATCTACAGGTAGGGATTATTTTGGAAATCAAACTTAATTTTCAAAACCTTCAGGTAAGCAAATTTTTATTTTAAAAGTCCTGTTCTGGGCCAAGCCCGTGGCGCACTCGGGAGAGTGCGGCGCTGGGAGCGAAGCGACGCTCCTGCCGTGGGTTTGGATCCTATATAGGAATGGCCAGGTGTGCTCACTGGCTGAGCGCAGTGTGGGCGACACCACACCAAGGGTTGTGATCCCCTTATCAATCAAGCGAAGCGACGCTCCTGCCGTGGGTTTGGATCCTATATAGGAATGGCCAGGTGCGCTCACTGGCTGAGCGCAGTGTGGGCGACACCACACCAAGGGTTGTGATCCCCTTATCAATCACGAAAAAGGCAAAAAAAATAAATAAATAAAAAATAATAAAAGTCCTGTTCTCGTATCTGTGTCTGACAGTTCTGGCCATTAATGAATCATCAATATTTCCTTACAGCTATGGACGGATTTACATTAAATTTACTGTTTATTCTAAGGTATTTAATCTTCTTTGTTGTTTTTGTAAATGGGTCTTTTTCTACCATTATGTCCTCTAACTGAATATAATTTGTGTATATAAAAACTATTCAATTTTTTCATGCTTATGGTTTTTGTTTATTTGTTTTTTTGGCGGCTGGCCGATATGGGGATCTGAACTCATAACCTTCGTGTTAAAAGGCTGTGCTCTAACCAAATGAGCTAACCCACCCACCCATCATGCTTATGTTATATCCTGCTACCTTACTGAATTATTTTATTGTTTCAGTTAGTTTTTTTTTTTTAAAAAGATGACCGGTAAGGGTTCCTGCTCACTGGCTGAGCGAGGCGCGGGAGCAACACCGAGGGCTGCGATCCCGTTGCCGGTCCCGGTCCGGTACGGGGGTGACACTGAGGGTTGCGATCCATTGCCAGACACGGAAAAAGACAAAAAAAAAAAAAGAAAGAAAGAAAAAAGATGACCGGTAAGGGGATCTTAACCCTTGACTTGGTGTTGTCAGCACCATGCTCACCCAGTGAGCGAACCGGCCATCCCTATATGGGATCCGAACCCGGGGCCTTGGTGTTATCAGCACCGCACTCTCCCGAGTGAGCCATGGGCCGGCCCAGTTTTGTCATTGATTCTCTAGCGTTTTCCAGGTGTACTGCCATGTCATTTGCAAAGAGATAGTGGCACTTTTTCTTTAATGCCTCTAATTGACTTCTCTTATCTAATTGTATTGACTAATAACTCTAGTACAGTGTTAAATAGTAGTAGAGATAACAGGTTTCTGATCTTAGTGGAAATGACAATAGTGTTTATCTATGAAGATGCTGGCTTTAGGTATATGTAAAATACATATAATTCATCATGTTAAGAAAGTACCCATCAATTCCTATATTCTTCAGTGTTTTATATCAAGAATGAGTGTTACACTTTTTCTAAGACTTTTTCAGCATCTATGGAGATAATCATATAAATTTTTTCCTTAGATCTATTAATATAGTGTTTTATATTAATGGGTTTTCTTTTTTTTTTTTTCCTTTTTGTCTTTTTTCATGTCCGGCAATGGATCGCAACCCTCAGTGTCGCTCCCGGACCGGGACCGGCAACGGGATCGCAACCCTCGGTGCTGCAACCGCACCTCGCTCAGCCAGTGAGCGGGAACCGGTCTGTATGTGGGATCTGAACCCTCGGCGGGAGTGCCGCTGCACTCCCAAGCGGCACACTGTAGCAGTGCGCCACTGGGCCGGCCCTAATGGGTTTTCTAATACTGAACAAATTCTGCATTTCTGGAATAAATCCTAGTTGGTCCTGGCTTATAATTTTCTTAATGAAGTGTTGAATTTTACTTCCTAATATTTAATTCAACTTTTATGTGCACATTTTTAAATGAAAATATGACCATACTGTACATACCATTTTATAATCTACTCAGTAATATATCCTAACTATTTTCTAAGTCAGTAAGTATGCTTTTATAATTATTTGTGTATATATGCTGGTGTTTTGTTTTCCACTACAATAATTGCTTCAATAAACATCTCTGATATACACCCTCAGAGAGAGAGGAATGTTTTTATACATACACACACATAACATTACTTTTAATAGTTTCATAGTATTTCATACTTGCACTCAACCAATTTCCAGTTGTTAAATCTGAAGTACAGAAGAAGACATACCAAACTCTTAAAGTGCTTATCTCTGAATAGTGGGATTTCAAGTAACTTTTTATTTGTGCTTTTTTTTGTATTTTTAATTTTATTAAATGAACATGAATTGCATAAGTAGTAAGGACGAGGTTTAAATGATATATTTTTTTAAAGGACCCAACAATACCTTAAATGTACATTCATCCCAAACAAGAAGGCTCACATCACTCCCAGTGTGCTAGCGTAGAGGAAGTTCAACAATAAGATTAAATAATGGGTCCCCAGTCAACCATAACTATGAGTACAAGTACTCATCAGAAAGCTATTCATGAAGGACAATTTCTCCTGGTTACTAAATGGTAATCTCTACTGGGAGGTGGCATGATGGAACATAAAACAGACCCTTTCCCTGGCCAAACATATAGTTTCCAGATCATGTACTCCTGAGTGCCAAAATAGAATGCCAAATGGACTTGCAGGAAGCAATGCTAGCACAGTGGTAACAAGCCTACACCTTGGAGACCGACTATCTGCATTCCGATCATAATCTACCACTTATTGTGTGACACCAGGCAGGTCACATAGTTTCGCCGTTTGTAACTTCTTCATATGTAAAATGAGGGTAATAATAGTTCCTTCATCATAAGAAGATGAAATGAATTCACAAATGTAAACTGTTTAGAACAGAACCTGGCACAAAGTAAACACTACAGAAGTCATCTGACACAAGTTAAGCGCTGGTTCTACTGGTTTTGTACTTTTTTTTTACTGGCAGCTGGCCAGTATGGGGATCCAAACCCTTGACCTTGGTATTATTAACACTACGCTCTAACCAACAGGGTTTTTCACTTTAAAATAATACAGTTCCTTCCTTTGTATTCTCTCTTTACTGCAATCACCAAAATCAAATTGTCTGAGGTTAAAGAGTCTCAAACAGCTTTATGTGCCAAAAAAACCCTAGGAAATTTTCTTGATACCAAAACTCCTGATTTAATTGTGCTTTAGTCTCTCCATTACATCTAGGTAACTCTAAGCAGAGCTGACTTAAGGAGTATTCACATTCTCTGGACTATATATTTGCCTCTGGAATATCATTTACATTTCTTTTTTTTTTTTTTTAAAGATGACGGGTAAGGGGATCTCAACCCTTGGCTTGGTGTTGTCAGCACCACGCTCAGCCAGTGAGCAAACCGGCCATCCCTATATGGGATCCGAACCCGCGGCCTTGGTGTTATCAGCACCGCACTCTACCGAGTGAGCCACGGGCCGGCCCTAGCTGCTGCTTTTTTTGAGAGACCACACGCTTGGGCCAGGATTGAGAAGGGCTTAGGACAGAGACCCCTAACAATTAGGGGATTTGTTCTATACTTTCAAAAATATGATGCCTTGAGAGCTCTGCTGGAAAGGATGAAATCTACTTGCACATGCAGAGACATACAGATTGTGTGTCTAAGGCATGATGACTGACAGCTGGGTCTCCTGGTGCAGAAAGGGATAATGGGTTACAAATAACAGGCGCAGAAGGACATTTCAGCCCAGCAGGCAAGTCATGAAGAGCAGCCAGGCAGAGAAGCGGTGCCCCAGAGCTGCCATGGCAACTCCAGAAGCAAAGAACACTCCAGACCCTCAGGACACATCATGTTCGGATGCTGAGTGCCCACAGAGATTTCTGGCATCAGCTGGCTGCAATTGTCTCTCCGAGATATCATAAAACAATTGCAGTAACTATTTCTTTAGATCTCAACACCCTTAATCCTTGGTGGTTAAAAATGAGAAGTCCTAGATTGCACTGTGGTGACCCTATCTGTGTTTTCTGGGTCTATTCAGTGACAGGGGCTCTAACACTCCCAGCAAATCTCTGCTAACTGTATTAGAAGCAGAAAAGATCCTACTCGGCAGGAAAGAGTGCCTAGGCCCTACCACTATTTCATTGACCAATGGGCTATCCATACGTGTAACTTAGCAAATAAACTGCATCATTTCCCAAGAACAAGCCTGCAGGAAGCCTCCATTCACAAACAGTTTGTAAAATTCTGCAACTCAGACCACATTTTTCATGGAAATAAACATGATCAGTGATGGTTATATCCACCAGGTAAGCTACAGCACATTTTTGTGAGAATGTGCCAGGCACAGCAATACAGAGAACTTACGTGTCCCTGGCTCACCTACAGAAGGGGCCAAGGGCAAGGCATTGAAAAGCATCCCCAATCACAGCCCATGCTGAATAAGACGTTCATTAGCTGCTACTAGCAACAGCAGTCCATTCCTAATAATGATGGTGACCCAGATCTCTAGTACCTCTGGCACCTACCAAAACCCAACATAAAGCTCTCTGGGGAAAGATAACAGCATCCTAAGCCTCATGTTTTTCCTACAAACAATTATGATAATGCAACGTCCAGCACATAAAAAATAACCAGGCATACAAGGAGACATGACCACCCAAATGAAAATCAGCAGACACTCTGAGACAACAGGAAACAGACAACGGAGGAGTTATAAAACACAGATGTCAGAACTGCTATGTTCACCATGTTCAAAAAGATAAAGACAAGACTGAGAATTTCATTAGAGACCAACAATAGAAAAGAACACGTCAGGCCAGAAAAATAGCAAAAAAGTTCTAGAATTGAACAACACAATAACCAAAATTAAAAGCTCAACAGATAGGTTTAAGAATAGATTAGATCCAGCTGATAAGAAAGTTAGTAAACTGGAAAAAAGATCACAAAAGAGTATTCAGAATGAAGTATATTCGGGAAAAAAAGGCAGACACAGAACCCATCCTCACAGAGTACAATTCAGCTCTATAATTTATTTATTCCTTGTTACTTGATTGGTTACACTTTTAAACATGTTGAGCCTGTTTCCTGGCCTCTCTATTCTATTCCCCTGGCCTTATCTGGCTATCCTTGGCTACTCCCTTATTTAAACACTCTCTTAATGAAAAAAACTATATGTCTAGTATGCGATAGAAGAGAGAAGGGGGATGGGGGTGAGAAAGAGAAAGAAGGAGATAGCCACAGGGAGAGAGAGAATTATAGAAACACCAAACTGTCAATAGAGGTTACCTCTGCCAAGTAGGATCTGGGGTAGGTAGAGGAGAAAGACCTTCCTTTTTCACCTTTATACTTGTCTATATATTTTGGATGTAACACAAAGAGCATATATTGCTTTTGTAATTTAAAAAACAATAAAGATAAAATATCTTTTGGCTCACAAAACAATGCTTAGCAATAATTAAACATTAATTATTAATGTTTAATGCTACAGCTTAACTGAAAAATTGGGTACACTTTCACTGACAAATATGCCTCACTCATTTTCTAGAGGAAAAAAAATGTACCACTTAGGCAAAAAAATCAGTTCATATAACAAATGTTAAAAATTCTTCAAGCCGTGTATTCTAAGACTTATATAGATACCATATAAATGCAAAGTACTATGAGATAATATATTTTTCTCTTTTGATAGAACTTGATGTAGAAAAACATTATGGGATATTTTTAGAACTTTCTTGGCCACTAAATTATTATTGCTCCCATGAGGCAGTTATTATCTACTATTATCTTTGTCAGGATTTCCTCTTGATGCTGTAAGGTAATTTCTCCAAGTTAAGTTTTAGCTATAAAATAAAATATAACTGATTGAAAAGATCTAGGCCATTAATTCTTCACTCTGTAACCATACTATATTCAGAAAAAGAAAAATAAACAACAAAGAACTTATTACCTTGGTTGAATCACTAGTGTATTAGCACACATATTCTTTTCAAAAATAACTTGCAAAGGCTGACTTTCTTGAAAACACACATTGTGAGTTCTTTTAATACCTTAAAAAGAATAAAGCAACTTCTTAAATAATTTTAAGTGTAAAATGAACAGATTTTAAAAGTCTTGAAATAAAAAATGGAAATAAAAAAGAAAAAGACAAAAAAAAAAGTCTTAAATTTCACAGCCAAATTAAAATAATAAACTTAAAGTAACATTTTCCATCTGGCAAGTGCATATTGCTTGGAGAAGCACTATTCCTTAATGAAATGTGTTTATCGCTCCCTAGTGGACACAAACCAATGTCACAACCTCTGAACAATCAGGCAGCAGAGTACCCAAATTCCTTCGAAATACAGGTAGTTTCTTAAATTGTATATCAAATAGTGATTGCTCACTATAGATCATAGCTCTACAATTCTCTTTTAGTATCTTTAATTCAGGACTTATATTTCTGGATAGAACTCTTGGCAGTTAGACCTCAACATCATTTGTGAATTATTTTCCCTTTAGAGGAAAAGGAGGAGGTAGCAATAAGGGGTATGACCCTATGTGCCAGGAACTGTAGCATACATTTTACATACATTCTCTCTGATCTTCACAATCTTCAGAAAAGGAAACTTAGTGAGGTTAAGTGACTTTTCAAGGCTACATTGTTTTAACAAGTACAAGTAGAATTTGAATCTAAGTTTGCATAGAGAATCCATGTAATAAAATCCAGGTGGGCTATAACTTTCTACAGCATAAAAATGTTGCAGTGAAAATCAAAAGGACTCACTTAGAAAAAACATTTCTCAATTTACATGTTGGGGTTTTTTTTACTGAATTAATAACAATAGCAAAAACAAACAAAGAAAATTAAAGAACAAACAAACAAATAACAGAAACATTTATTAATTTAATAAATATTTACTGACCACCTACTACATACTAGGCTTTATTAGCTTTTTTCTTTTCTTTTTTTTTTTTTTTTATAAAAGATGACCGGTAAGGGGATCTTAACCCTTGACTTGGTGCTGTCAGCACCATGCTCACCCAGTGAGCAAACCGGCCATCCCTATATGGGATCCGAACCTGTGGCCTTGGTGTTATCAGCACCGCACTCTCCTGAGTGAGCCACAGGCCGGCCCCTGCTTTATTAGCTTTTGCTGCATAACAAACTACTCTAAAACTTAGTGGCTTAAAATAACAAATATTTGTTATTTCTTATGATTTAGCTGAGTGGTTCTTCTGGCCTAGGCTATGCTTAGTTGAGGCTGAGTCATCTAGGACAGCCTCATTTTCATGTCTGGGGCCTCAGCCAGGACAACCAGATGCCTGAGGTGACTGAGCCCTCTCACCACACAGCTTCTAATCCTCCGAGAGGCTACACCATGCTGTTCCTGTGCAGGCAGAAAGGTTCTTGTGGCAACAGTGGAAGCGGACAAGTCCCTTGAAGCCTAGGCTTATCACTTCTAGTGCATTCTATTGGTATCAAAGCAAGTCTGAGGCCAGCAGAGAGTCAAAGTGGGGAAAGACTCCAGCTTTTGATGGGAGAGGCTACAAATAATTTGTGACCTTTTTTGTAATCTACCACACAGGGACTACTTTAAGAGCCAGGATTAGGGGGGCCGGCCCGGTGGCGCACTGCTACAGTGCGCCGCTTGGGAGCGCGATGGCGCTCCCGCCAAGGGTTCGGATCCCACATACAGACCGGTTCCCGCTCACTGGCTGAGCGAGGGGCGGGCGCAGCATGAGGGTTGCTATCCCGTTGCCGGTCCCTGTCAGGTACGGGCGCGACACTGAGGGTTGCATCCGTTGCCGGACACGAAAAAAAAAAAAGAGCCAGGATTAGGGGCCGGCCGGTGGCACACTGCTACAGTGCGCCGCTTGGGAAGTGCGGCGACGCTCCCGCCAAGGGTTCGGATCCCACATACAGACCAGTTCCCGCTCACTGGCTGAGCGAGGTGCGGGCGCAGCACTGAGGGTTGCGATCCCGTTGCCGGACACAAAAAAAGACAAAAAGGGGAAAAAAAAAAACGAGCCAGGATTAGTGGGAACAAATCAGACAAAAATCTCTGTCCTCACAGAGCATACATTCTAGTGAGGGGAACAGACAATAAGAAAATACATAAGTAAAACAATAGGCAAAGGAGCGGGGTACACACCCTGAGGAGGTAGCACACTAGAGCTTCTCAATCATGGAGGACCTTCTAGGCCATCCTAAGATCTTTGGCTTTTACCTTGGGCAAAACAGGAAGCTATTTAAGAGTTTTGAGCACAGGAGTGACATAATCTGAGCTATTTTAAAAGGATCACTATGGCTGCTGTCTTGAGAAGACACAAAGCTCAAAAGTTGACAGATACTACCTATTTTTAAAACATTTTCAAGTTACTTTTGGAGGGACAGGTAATAGATGCACAGGATACGAAATTCAAAAGATACCAAAGACACTGAAAGGTAAGTCACTCTCCACCCCTTGACTCCTGCCACCCCAGAACCCGCCACAGAAGAAATTACCAGTTTCTTAGGTATTCTTCAGAAATAGCCTATGAGTATTCATTTCTATGTAACAAATATTTGAATCAAATGAATATTGGTACTGCTGAGGATGTACAAGCTGAGAAATGTCTCCTTTCTTTGTCATCCCTGATGCTCCATCTCTTGCTACTTGCCTTCTTCCCCCTTTTCCTTATCAACATAAACTAAACACTTTCAACCTATACCTTGAATCACACTGCTTCTTTATCTTAGAATGCCTTCCCATTTCTACCTGCTGGAAACTTACCCATATGTGACACCACTATGCAGAAAGCCTTTCCTCTTTACCTTTCCCTCTTTGAATCTCTTGCCCAAAGAACACTCATTGTACCCTTCTTAAAGCAAATTGGCTTGAAGTACCTCTTCACTGTGGTTTTTCTAGTTTTTCCAGTTTAATAATAATTTTCCTTGATAGAATGCAAATGAGATAAACATTTAGAAGCCCTGTTTTCAGGGGCCGGCTCGTGGCTCACTCGGGAGAGTGCGGTGTTAATAACACCAAAGCCATGGGTTCGGATCCTATATAGGGATAGCTGGTTAGCCCACTGGCTGAGTGTGGTGCTGACGTGGCTCACTCGGGAGAGTGCGGTGTTAATAACACCAAGGCCATGGGTTCGGATCCTATATAGGGATAGCTGGTTAGCCCACTGGCTGAGTGTGGTGCTGACAACACCAAGCCAAGGGTTAAGATCCCCTTACCGGTCATCTTTAAAAAAAAAAAAAAAAGAAGCCCTGTTTTCTCTGTGGGTCATTTATTAACTTTATCTAGTACTGCATAAATTCCTGGACTGTAATGAGATAAGGGGTTGTCACCAGAATTTATTTCCTTCATCAAGAAAGTCTTAATACTATTAACAAAATAAAAACTAGCTGAACCAAAGAGAGTGCTTAGCAATGTGGTTCACTTAAATTCTGGCATAAGCTCGTTATGATACCATTGACTCACAGACCAGTAACAGTTTGGGGCCCAGCAGCCAATCCAAGGACCACTTTGAGTAGCAGGGCTTTATACCATCTGCACCCAGACATAGGATACCAGATGCTACAGTGGAATTCTGCTTGTCACTTCATAAGCTCAATTTGAAACTTCTCTCAGTGGGTCCAGATAACTCTTTCAAAACCTGAAGCAGTACAAATAAGGAACAACCATTATTTTAGAGGTATTACATTTGTGGAGTTTGTAATTACATTTGTGGAGGCCAGTGATACTTTCAAAAATCTTGTAAGTTATTCAAATGTTTTTTTTGAATTAGTTTGAAGTCATGAGCACACCTGTAGAGAACCTCTTTACAAAAACTTAAGACTTTGAAGGGAGAATCCAGCCCTCTCCACATCATTTCATTAATATACAGGTATGAATAAGAGTTTTATTTTCACTCAACCCAATGCACCTTCTCTTGGAAACCATTCTCTGTTGGAGACCTGGCTCCTTGAGGCAGGACAGAACTTACTAGCAGGTTGCTTGTATATAGCATATTCTTCAAGGACAACCCACTGACTCATTTTTAGCAACTCTGGGGCTAGCGCAAAAGGAAATATGGAGGATTGGTGAGATAATTAATAGGCAGATAAAATACTTCAGATAAGCCTGGCACTTAATGATATAAATGATAGAAATCATCACTTTTTTCTATTAGCAGATGCTAATAATCCAAGTAGTCACTGTTCTGGATACTGTTTACGGTTAGATTCAGAGCAGAGAGGCTCGTCCTTTTCAGTAGCTTGTGTTTTGACAATTGTTTTCTACTAATGAAGAGAGCCAAATTTACTTCACTACCCTTAATTTCTTCCCAAATTCCCCATCTGTATTTCTAACAGCTAACTGGATATCTCTACTCGGGTGACTTTTCTCAACTAAATTTGAGAAATGATTTTCCACCAGATTATTAAGGTAAAATTGCAAGCGTAATTTGCTGAGCACATGTAGTTTAGGAAAGTATACATACTTAAACCAATTACTGCAGCAGAATCTATCCCCTACTTTCCTTCCTTCCTGAGCCACCCCTTCCCTAGTGTGTAGCAGCCATTAGGTCTGGATGGAACTGATTCCACTTCCAGCTACAGGGATGCCATCACTGGCATAAACCAACTGACTTACTCTTAATCCCCCTGCAATAGAATTGGTCCTAAATGATTAGAGAATTACTCTAATCAAACCACTTGAGAGATATTTCAGAAACTGAACAATAGGTTGTTTAAAATCTAGATGGACCACCTGAGCAGGAGCCAAGGTGAGCCGTGTCCCACGTACCACTGGGGGCCCAGCCTGAAGCCTCAGAAAGCCCCACCCACTGCCCAAGCAGAAGCCAAGGTGAGCATCCCATGTGAGTGCCACAAACACTGTTTCTGCACAGGTGGTCCACCACAGCTACCACTACACCTACTACCACCACAGACGCAGCTCACCACTACAGTAGCAGCCAGGGCCACCCTACAGGCAGCCCACCACACAATCGACTGCATCAACACAAGAAAAGTCACCAACAGAGCCTGTAAATAGAGGAGGAAGTCTTTCTCCTCACAGCCCACTCCAGAGTAATA